TTACTTGTTTGTTTAACATTGATGCACTATAAACAGTACAGAGCCACTTGCTGGACACATTGTCAAGTTAAAAGAAGCTTATCTCCACATAGTCTTGCAAGTTGCCAGCTCTCATGTGGCCCTCAGTGGCAGCTGTATTCCCTGCTCATGGACCACTGACTTCCATGGGGTTCTGCAGAGGGACAGAGTCCATCCTACCGAGAGGTTACTGCAGACTAAATCCAGGCGAGGTTTCTGGCTGGGAGGTCATGAGGCCTGCCAGTAGAAAGCGTTATTAGTGGGAGAGTTTCTCACATAGTTTCATAGTTTCATAGTTGGTAGGGTCGGAAGGGACCTGAGCAGATCATCTAGTCCGACCCCCTGCTATGGCAGGAAAGAGTACTGGGGTCAAACGCCCCCGGCAAGGTGTTCATCCAGCCTCCTCTTAAAGCCCCCCAGGGTAGGAGCCAGCACCACTTCTCTTGGAAGTTGGTTCCAGATCCTAGCCACCCTGACTGTGAAGTAGCGCCTCCTGATGTCTAGTCTGAATCTACCCTCTGCCAGCTTGTGGCCGTTATTTCTAGTCACTCCTGGTAGGGCTTGGGGGAACAGGGTCTGCTGGTGCTCCCTGACTAGTTTGTAAATGGCCACTAGATCCCCCCTCAGTCTTCTCTTGTGGAGGCTGAACAGGTTCAGGTCCCGTAGCCTCTCCTCGTAGGGCCTGCCCTGCTGACCCCTGATATGCGGGTGGCCCTCTTCTGGACCCCCTCGATGTTGTCCACATCCCTCCTGAAGTGTGGTGCCCAGAACTGGATGCAGTACTCCAACTGTGGCCTGACCAGTGTCGCATAAAGGGGGAAGATCACCTTCTTGGACCTGCTTGAGATGCATCTGTGGATGCATGACAAGGTACGGTTGGCCTTTCTGACCGCGTTCCCACACTGTCGGCCCACGTTCATTTTGGCATCAATAATGACACGTCTCATGCTAAGTAGGACTGGGCCTGATTTGTATTCTGATGGGACACCCCAAGGAGAACGGTGTCTCAAGAGGTGACAGTGGTTTGGTATATGGCATGTTGAGGGGGATTTCTTCAGTTAACATCTCTATGAATACTGAGGACTGGGCTGCAGGGACCAAGGAGGCCTCTTCCAGTGCTGTGTTCAGAGGCAGTACCCAGAACAGTGGTGGGGAGCCTGCTGCTGCCTTACACATGAGGGGTGTTGACAGATGTGCAGCTCCCCACTCTAACTCATGGTGCTTCACAGAAGGCGCCATGAGTTAGAGCCCCCCCCAACCCTGTTCCAACAGACAATCACTGTTGGGTTGGAGGGGAGGGGAGGGGAGGGGAGGGGAGGGGCTGAGCTCCACTTTGGAGCCAATCTAGGAGGAGCTGTCTGCCTGTAGTCTCTCTCCCCTAGACCTGCCCCCCCCCAGCTTGTGCTTTCTGCAGCAAGGGAGAGGGGAGAAGGGAGGGAAGGGAGCTCCAGGCTAGAGTTTGCCCAGCGTGAACTGGAGGGAGAGGGTATGGGGGGGGAGCATGAGGCAGGGTGGGGGGATCTAATCCAGCCCCCTCCCCCTTTAGCTCAGGCTGGGTCATCCTCAGCCCAGAGCTTCCTCCCTCCCTCTTCTCCCCACTCCCTTCCTGCAGCCAGCACTGGGGATGGGGCTGGGATTGCGTGCAGGGACAGACAGAAGTTAATGAAGGCACTCCACTTCGGAGCACCTTCATCTTAATTTGTCACACGAGTGGGCACTTTTAAAACTCTCTACAGCCATGCACTTCTGTCAGCGCATAGCTGTAGAGCGCTTTCAGGGGGCTGTCCACACAACCAATATCACTTCTGTTGGAGCCCAAGATGTATGAATATGTTTCCAGTTCCTAGCGCCAGTTTTTTTTATATACAAGGGCCCAGGCACCAATATTGACTGTCAGTGCCATACCTGTGTGCATGTATGCACCTTTTCCATCTGTGTGCTCAGAGCAAGTGGTTATAGGATTGTGGGGCTACTTCTATGTAACCTGCCCCTTGGGTGGATCCAGAGGGGGTGCACTGGTGCACTTGCACACCTCCTTTCATTCCCGCTCCACCCAAAGATTAAAACCAACTGCCTGGCAGTGGCAGCAGCATTTCTAGTCAGGCAGTGCTGAGGGAACCACTTTATGGGTCATTATAAACAACCCGATCCTTTCTAAACTTGTCGTTCCACAAGTGTGAATGACCCTCTGTCCTTTTTCATAGTCTTGATGTTCCACCAATCAAGCTAGCCTTTGTTCTGCAATTTTGCTGTTCCTGGGCATGAGGCTCCTATTTCACAGCCCTGTGGATTCCTTTTAACTCATTTCAAGGAAGTTATAGTAGCTTTGCTTCAATCTTAAATTGAATAAGACAGTGCTGGGCCCCTGACAGATTAGTAATGCTTCTAGTTTATTTGTAACTGGAGAAAAATAAGTGTTGTTTTATATGTGATGATGCTCCTCACTATCTGCACACCCCTTTTCAAAATTATGCATCTGCCCATCATGCCACTTGATTTGGATGCGAAAATGCAACAAGTCCATGCATGTGTGCAGGGGGCCTCCTAGCCCATGTGCATTTTCCCACAGCTTCTCTTTCTAAAAATGTCCCTGTACAGGTCCCAGGCTGTTTCAGCAAAAACAGACATCATGCCCTGGCCAACTTCCACATCAGTTCATTGCATGTTGCTTACCTAAATTTCCCTGCAATTTCCAAAGGGGTTCAGTATCCATGCTCCTGTCCTGGCTTTTAAATGGTTGTGTGTTGTATCTGTGGCAGAGGGAGCAATCCCAGCAGGTTGGTAAAGTGCTGGGTAAGACAGTGGAAGGTGGGTTGATCCTTTAACAAACTGTTGAAAACAACAAAAGATGATATCAAATACCCCCACCCCCTGCTCACAGCCCTCTTTGGACCCACAGGGGACTGACCCCCTTCTTTTCAATTTCTGTTCAAAATGAGTATGACAGCTGCCTTGCCATGGAAAAGGTGAACCCCCATTTCTCCCTGTTTCCCATTAATTTGAAGGATGCTGCATGTACTTTTCTAACTGCTGGGCATACACATCCCTCCCTGGGGTGATGTGCTATAAATCGCTACCTCGTTTCCCTACCTAGGCAGTCTGTGGACCTGCAGGGAATACAAGCTCCTCATAATTCCCTGGCAATGTGTTTATTTATTGTATTAAGATTTATGAGGCTGATACCGAAAGAGAAATCAAGAGCTCAGTGAGCTTCCTGCAGAGGAAAATCCCAAATCGCTCACATGCAAATAGAGCGAACAGCTTCTCCTCTCTCATTTCTGTCTGGATGTTGATCAAGCAGAAAAGAAAATGAATCCCAGTACCCCATTTGCAGTACCCTATTATCCCCCGGTGCCTTCAGCGCATCCTTGCCTATAGAGAGGCAGCAGCAAGACGCCAGACTACCATGCGTAGACCCTGAGATGGTGCAGAGTCACTTGGAGGAACTGGATGCCTTTAAGTCGGCAGGGCCGGATGAGCTCCATCCGAGGGTGCTGAAGGCACTCGCCGACATCATTGCAGAGCCACTGGCAGGAATATTTGAACGCTCGTGGCACACGGGCCAAGTCCCGGAGGACTGGAAAAGGGCCAATGTGGTCCCTATTTTCAAGAAGGGGAGGAAGGAGGACCCGGGCAACTATAGGCCAGTCAGTCTCACCTCCATCCTAGGCAAAGTCAGACTTCAGTTTGATGCTCAGGTTCACTCTATGGGCCATGAAGAGGGCAAGGTGCCTATGCTTGGGGCCCACAGCAGCAAACCCACTGGATAAGGAACCACCTAAACTAGCCAGTAGGAAATGCTGCTGATGCGTGGGTTTTATATGGAGCAGGCCCAAAAGAGAATGAGCTTAGCCCCGTGGTTAGGGCGTTCTCCGGTGAAGGGGCGCCCTGGATTCCAGACCTGGCTTCAATGAATACAAGTCTTTAAAGTTAAATTGGGATATGAAAAGGAAAGATTCTGAACTATTAACCATGGCCTATGACCACAGTTAGTCCAAGGCCTCATCAGGCTAAACAAAGAGCTAATTGGTAATTGGTAACATAAAAAAAAAAAATCTGCCAATAGGTGACCGTATCCAGGGATCTTCTTAACCAAACTAATAATTTCCATAGGAGAATTAAAGCAGCCGCTATTTCACATGCAGAGTGACTGGGAAATCAGCTGCTCACTTTTTTGTTTGTAGCTTGGATGGGGATACACTGATTTGCATCGAAGTAAGTTAGGGCACTGATCTAAAAATGTAAGAAACCTGGGCTTAAATCACTGATCTTAATGATATTTTGCATTTGTACTTTTTAGTTAATTTCCTAAAGAAAAGCTCATTCTCATTAGCCAGCATAACCATGTTAAAGCGTTGATTTGCAACTAAATATAGCTTTCAGACTAAGTCTGATATTTCTGTTTTGCTAACCAGAAGCTTACTGTTCCTCTAGATGCATTTATTTAAGCAGTGACCTAGCTGTACATCATTTGTGTAGATTCTTAATTTTTGAGTATGTTTGAAAAAGGTGAATGAGTTATTTCTAATTTACTGTGAGATAATTGTGTTATTCTGGATGTGTGTCAAGTTGCATTAGGATGGAAACTAGAAACCAATTACAAATGAACACACACGGCATTTTAAAACAATGATGACAAAGATGACAATGATGCCCCAGGCATTTGCTGATAAATGTACAGAACATGGTGGGCCACACGGGACAGGACTAGGAGCAAGCTATAGGAGAGGACATTTAGGCTGGAGATTAGGGGGTGGTCATTTCTGATTAGGAGGGTGATCACACACTGGACCAGGGTGCCTAGAGAAATGGTGGAATCTCCATCCTTGGAAGTTTTCAAGAGCAGGTTGGACAGACACTTTGCTGGGATGGATGAGTTAGGGATGACCCTGTCTTCAGCAGGGTGCTGGACTAGATGACTTTGTGAGGTGCCTTCCAGCCCTGCTTTCCTATGATCCTAAGCTAGCTAGCTCAGAGAGAGAGAGAGAGAGAGAGAGCTGTTCAGGTCATCCTTGCTGTCCATATGTGTCACCTGTTGGGATGAATGGGAGGGATAACTTAATTTCCAGTCTTTTTAAGGCCTTCACAGTTAACTTGAATATACCTCAGCTCATGGACAGCACTACTGGTATTGCACTCACCTTCTTGAAGTAACTTATTACCTTTATCTCTGTGGCCAGGATGTGCCTTTGCAGCTTCTCCATGTGAGCTCCTGCTTGACAGGGGAAGAAGGGAAAACAGAACGGCATGGGAGCAAGCCTGGGATCCTGCCCCACCACAGGAGTTAGCTGGTGGGTGATTGCTGCTAAGAAAGACCGTGAGCCTGCTGCCCCTTGCAGAGCACCCCATGGTAAGCTCAGGGTGGTTGTGCTTCCTCACAAGCCTAAGCGAGGCTGCCCATGGGCACAGGTGACGTTATATGGGGCACCGTGCTAGGCAATCACGTGCCCTCCATTACTGTGACTGGTGCAGGGATGGACAGAGAGTGAGTCTGAGGCAGCGTGACCTTGAGCATGAGTTACAGTGGCCAAGTAATGTGTTTCCTGCTCCGGGCCAGTCTGTGTTACTAGGCCCTCTCACGAACCCCAAATCGGGGTTCTCCTGGCTCCTGGTCCAGTTCTACAGCTTTTATCGTTATTTGTTCGAATTACAGTCAGAGCCAGAGGTGTCATGGCCGATCAGGGCTCCTGTCTGCGGGACACCACCACAGGCAGTTCCTGCTGTGCTGAATGGCCCAAACAGAGAAAAGAAGGCTTACAATCACTCTCACTTTGTTAGACAGAGAATTAGGCCTCAGAAGTCATGGAGCTCATCCATCAGCAATTGAACCCAGGTCACCTCCCCCTGCTCCCTTACCCTCACTCCAGCCTTTGTACACTGGCTTCTTTCACTGCAAGACCCTGCCCTATGTAAGTAAGATCAAGCCAAAAGGGCTTGTAGTTATTCCTTGTAATAATCCCAATAAATGCATTTAAAGGAAGAGATAACCCAGCCCACTTCTTGTCTATACCAGAGCACGATCTGGCCTACTTGTCATCTATGCCAGAGTACTCTCGTGCCCAGTCCATCAATGCAATTTGTTGAGCACGCACCATGCTTCCCATCATGGCAGCTGACACTGTCAAGCTCACAGTCTGTTGTTGGGGGACTGGTTAATTAGGATTTGTTATAGGATTGCTAAGGTTAAAATAAACTCTTATATGTTGTTGTTCAGAAACACATGTAGGGGTAATATTACACATAAATATGGTGCGGGGGGGCTGGACTTGATGATCTCATGAGGTCTCTTCCAGCCCCTAATGTCTATGAAATCTATGAAATATAATATAATATAATATAATATAATGAAATGACAAGAAGATTCCTTCTGCCATTAGGGCTGAACATATAACGGCTGTTTAGAGGTACAAATTACATAGGCCTGGTAATTAGGCAGCTGGAGCACAGAAACTGCATCCCTCATTTGTAGGCACTGGAAAGGGGCTCAGTTTCCTTTTAGACCCCACCAAACGTTCATTAAATAGCCAGTGGGATCTGAACAATTGTGGCTCTGACCCCCCACACTGGGCAGCCTGGTGTTAGAACAAACCATGCAAGTCCTCTGGCTCTCTTTCATTTTAGAGTTCAGTCCTGCCAAGGATTAAAAGGAAAACATTTCCATGCACTTCCTCCAAGAAGAGGCTCTGCTAACTCATCTAGAACTGTCCCTGATGTCTCAGTCTGGGCTGGGCAGGGACCGGAGAGAGCTCGTTGGCCTGGAGCCACCTGATTCCTCACTGGGTCCAGCTGTGCTTCCTGCTCCTCCTGGCTGCAGGCAACCCAGCTGCAAGATACAGGCCCGGCACTCTCAGGGGACTGCAAACTGCTCAGTGTCCCACAAGCCTATGGTTATGCCTGCTCTCTCGATGGCTGGCTACTGGTGCCTCTTAGTTCCTGCCTTGAGCTTTGCCCTGGTTCCTGTTTTGAGTGGTCTCCCAGCTCCTACCCTGGTTCCTGTCTCCGCCCTGACTTTGCTTCCAGCCTAGTGCTCTGCTCTTGCCTTGATCCCTCTGTCTTCTGCCTCCTAGCAGCGTTGGAATAAGGTTTCCCCCTCTGGACTGATGTTGCCTGATATTGCCCCTGGGCCTTCAAAGTAGGGGATGGTCTTAACTGTTAGGGCAGATTGCCCTCATCCTGCTTCATGATGGCCTGCAACATGTTGTCTCCCATCTCCTCCACTGCCAAGTCCAAAGCTTTTTCCTTTAATTAGGAGGGAGATAGAAATTCTGCAATTAAATTCCCCCCCTCTAGCAAAATGGCTTATATGACCCATAACTCTTCAGTGGTTAATAGCAGCCAAGAGCATTTTCCCATATGGTTCTGTAGGGCTCCATGATCCCGTATAGCTGCAAACAAAAACAGACCTTCATTGCTGCTGTTAACAGCTACGTAGGGATGAAAACAGCCTGGGTGCTGACTCAATGGACAATGCTTTTCCGCTGTGTGCTGCCTTTCGAACTGTAGTAGGAAACAGCCAACCACATATTTTTCCAAGGTTGACAAAGAATTAATCTAGGAGATCTCAGTACAGCAATTCTTTTTATATTTTAGAGAGGTGGAGGGAGACTGAGAACAAGCAAGCAGTATTTGGGGTGGATCGGAGAGGTTCTGTTGGGCCAGGAGCCAGCCGGTGGGCAGCAGTGGCATTGCTGGCCTCTGCCTCTCCCTCTTTCACCCCCTCCCTGGATTGGTTTTGATGGGTCCAAAATGGGCTCCATTGTTTTAGCTTGTCCCTGTTAATGCTCCATGGTGAGCTACAAGGGCAAATGCAGTTCACACTGATTTAATGCATGTGACCCCAAAGTGGTACTGATTTCACCAGTGGGACTCAAAGTCCCACCTGCAGATTGACATGGTGAAACTTGGTGTGTGCACAAGGCTGAGAGGTGACATGCTTGTCTCGAAAAGCAGTGTGGCCTTGTGGGCAGGCAGCTAGACTGAGAGTTCATGGATGTGTGCCACATCTGGATCTGCGCCCGAGAGACTATGGGGCCTGGAGAAATCCTCCTGTCACACATGAAATCATTAACCTGACCTTGTGTTTGTCACGTCCGGGGCTGTGTTGCGAGCTTCGATGTCTCTGAGTGATTTTGCAGCCGTTCTGTTCAGATTGGTTTCAAAAGTGTCCAATGTTCATTCAACTAGGAAGCGTCTACACCTATCCAATCTCTCTGCTGAATGCGAGTGGTTGTAGCTGGATCCCCCGTCCTCCTTGCCTTTTCCTGCAAACGTCTTTCTTCCTTTGAAGTTCAGTCATTCCAACTACCTTTAGGCTTAACTTAGGGAGGCCTTACAGGGGCGTTGTTCCTACAACACACAGCGCCTTTAATTTGATCTGGTGGACTGAAGAGAGCAATGTATGTCAATCTACTGCTCTCAAAATCCAGTGCCTGCAGAGCTCTGGCTGGCGGGTCGGTCTACCACATTAGGGACTTTAGACCTCGTTCATAATGAAACTATAATCCCCGATGGACAGACCTGCAACTTCTGCAAAGGGGATCTGTGGCTCAAAAATCGAGTCACCTCAAGAGCCATCAATGTCTTGCTAGGTCTTGAGACATCATTTTAAGTCACTTGAAGACCCATCAATGAGCCGTGGTAGAGATCATGCTGGAATCGAGTAATTGCCAAAGAGGATGACATAATCAAAGCACAAGTTAAACTTTTTTCTCATCTGGAGTGTGACATCACCAGTCTAAGATCCCCGGTTATCCACAATGCAAGGTGGTTTCCAGAAACTAAAGCCAGTGATTTGGCACCTGGTTGGAGAGAGGTTATGGATGCCTGGTGATTATACTTTAACTCTTAAGGTTGTGTGCTCTGAAATATACAGTCGCATGTGGGGTTTTTAATTATTTTTCTGATTTTGTAGGTTTCAAGAGCACCTCTTAACGCATAGGATTTTTAATAGTGCCCCAGGGTGACTGGTCCAGAGCAGAGCAATGAGCATATGTAGCTCCAGTTGCAATCTGCTTTCTTCCTCCAAGCGACAGCGTTCGCAGCACAATCATAACATCATCCATGACAGTTGTTGACCCTCGGGTCAATACATGGTAATATGTCTTTTAATTACTGAGGTCATTACTTCCACTGATGCACGCTCTACATGACTGAATCCAACGAGCTCTTCATTAATGTTCGTGTCATCCATGTATCAGAAAGAAAACTATTGCTCAGAAGCACTGAGAAATCTCTCCCGCAGTTGTAAGAGAACTTCTTGTTGTGATCACCTCTGGATAATTGGATTCATGAATATTGCTTGACCCTCTTCTTCAGTCACCTTCAGACACCGGGATCCTATGCCGCCTGCAAACAAAGCGGCTGAATAAAGTTGCTGTCAAGTTCTGAACATGAGGGTGAATGCTGTGCTTGTTCGGCATAACAGCCTCAGAGTGCCAACCCTCGTCTGGCAAGGAAACAAGTGCAACTTAGTGTTTTAATTAAGAGCTTCCTGTTTCCTCCTGTCTCTTGAGGGCACTGAAAAGGTCACACATCACCCGTAATCTTTCTGATCTCCTGAAGAATATTAACCACCTCATGGGAACACAGAGAAGCCTGGTGCCTATTAAAGGTGGGGTTGAGCATTTTTTCTGATGAGGATCTCTCCTCATTGAGACTTGACTTGGGCTGGTGCCTGGATTTTAACTCCGAGCCCTCGGCCATGCGTAGACAAAATGAGGGGCATGTGTGCACAATGCTTTAAAGTGGGTGAAATGCTTTTGCACTGCTTTAATGGTGTTGGTGTTTGCACACGTTGGCGGCAGATTGCACAGTAATTCCAGCTGCTGTAGCAAATTTGGCGGTGTAATGCACCTTAAATGACTTGGGGCGCAGCAAACTAAAACTCCTCCAAGGAGTTTTAGTTTGCTGCCTTACAGTTTTTGAGCGAAGCACCGGGCTCTGTGCAGCCCAGGGGCTCTGCAGGAAGCCCATGCAGCCAGCCTGACACCAGCCCAGGAAGGCAGGCTCTGCCCAAGAAAAATAAAAGTGGCGATCTTTTTTTTCCCCCCCGGATCCTGCCTGCGTGGCTGAGCTGCACAGGGCCCAGTGCTTCCTTCTGCAGCTGTGGTGCCCCTGGGGACTACCCAAGCTGGGAGCCTGCGGGCGGGTGCCACCTGGGGGGCGCTGCCACTGCCATGGAAAGAAGCAGTAGCCCACGCTGCAACCCAGGGACTGGTCCATCTGCTGGCAGCTTGCCCACCACCGGAGAGGCAGGTAAGTGAGTGTGCACAACACGGGGGTTTAAGGGGCCCTAAATTGTAGCAATGTTTTAAAAAACTCACCGCTTCAATTTAGGGCCCCGTTTCATCTACACATGCCCCTCTACTCCACACACACACACACACACACACACACAGAGTCTTTTACCCAGGTTTTTCTGTGCGTTGAACCTGGCTTGCTTACCTGAGGGAATCTGCTTAAAGCTGGATTTTGCTTGAAGTCAAGTGCTAACCCCCGAGTCAGTAGGATGGACAAAGCCAGTTCTGCACCGTTGGGGTCACTGGAGCAGCCTGACAAAATGCCATTTTGGAGAACATTGACCTAGTGTGCTGCTAACTGGCCAGGAGATCGCACCAGGGTGCTGGCTGCCCTCATGTCAGGAGTCTGGGCAGTGGGCAGACACAGGAGCCCCAGCTGACCCTGATAGCTTGTGTAGACTGCGGCTGCCTGAGGGCCCTCAGCTGGTTCCTGTTAAAGTGCTTGGTTGTGGCTTACAAGGTTCCTTGGGTGAATTTGATATCTTTTATTAGACCAACCCAAATAGTTGGAGAATAGTTATTAAGCAAGCTTTTGAGTTCAAAAACCCTTCATCAGGCTAAGGAAGTTTCAGCAGTTGGTGTGTGCTCTTCCTGGATGGAATGAAAATGGTTGTGGCTTATGCATTTAAGCAGAAGCCCTTGAAATATTCTATGGACTTGTAATAGGACAGCTTCTTTTTCTGGCCACTCCAGTGCTTTTGATTCCTGGTTTCCTAGTCCTGGTTCTTGATTCCCAATCTTTGGTTCCTGCTGCCTGGCTTCTGCTTCCATCCCTACCTAGCCCCTAGTGTTTGGACCCCCTGGCTCTCGGACTCCCTGGACGCATCTATACGAGACACTAACTACTCGGTAGCCTAATAACATTGCACAGTAACGTGCAGGGCAAAAACTGTTCTAATATGCTACTGCACAGTAGTATTTAGATACTGTGCAGTTTGTGTCACTAAAAAGCCATGCACTGATGCTTTTACCGCGCATTGATTTAATACTTGGTTATACAAGTACTAAACTTAAAGTGCAGTAACTATGGTGCAGTAATGAACATGTAGACGTGCCCCCCTGACTTTTGACTCCTCAACTCAACATTTCTTAGGCCTGTGCCGTTAACCCCTGAAACCTGCTCGCCCATGTCTGGGCTGTGGCCCTGATACAACAGATGTGAATTTGGTAAGAAATGCAATTCTGGGAAATGCCCAGGGAATAAGCCTCTTTGTGAGAGAATCTTTCAGAGGGTGGCAGTGTGGGGAGAGAATAAAAACCTAGAGGGTACCGTCCACAAATTGAATACTAGAAATGTGTCAGGAAGCACACATCCACCTGTCCTGCTCTGAGGAGTCTGACAGAGTTCTTGGTGCTTCCCTAAGCACAGAGTCTGCTGTGTTGCCTGAAGTGAAACCGTTTAATTTTTTAGACTCAGGACTGGAGGGGATACAGGTGTCAGTGGGACAGAGCCCAGAACGGACCACATGGCCAGAGTAATGGGAGAACATCCTTAGGTCAGAGGACCTGGGCTGTTTGGGGATGGGCCCAAGGAACAGAACAAGCAGCATCCAAATGGGACCCAGGTAAGATACTGCTGCCACCCTTGTTACGGAGGGGAAATTGTATCATAAATAAGAGACTTACAGCCAATGCCATTATTGTTGCAGAGGATATTATGTGCTGTTGGGCATCCCTTAGAGGTGGAAGCTTTGGCACTCTTTCTTTGCCTCCACAAGTGATTCAAGTTGGTTTCCAACAGGGGAATGGAAGATGGGAGCAGAATTAAACAGGCTTGTAGTGACTTATCCTGGCTAGGATTTAACCAGCCACTACTAACAAAAATGCACTGAAAGCTCAGATTACAGGCTTAGAAAAGAACCATGTCTATCACACTGTTCATAGTTTTCTTTTGCTGGTACTAGCATTAAGGTGCTAGAGACAGAGAAGGGGGCAAAGTGGTGGTGGCACTGCACAATCAAAGGATGAGGTGTTGTCTGAGTGGCTGTTTTCTTTGGTAGCCAGGGAGTTGCATACTTCATTGCCAGTTACTTCAAGTTACTATGTCATGCAGCCACCGGACAAGTCTGGGGTGGGATGGACTAGCATTCAATGCAGCCTTGGAGTAGAAGGCAGCATGGGTAGATGTGCCCTATTCACTTCATCCTACTGTTAATGTGCACTTCCATTACCAGAGAGACGTTTCTACAGCATCACGCTTCCTGGTCTCCCTAACTTCTTCTGTTGCCCTGGCCCCAATTTGTGCTATGTGCAGAAGCACAGCTGCCAAAAGTACAAGTCAGTCAGATCCCATTATAAGGACCTGAGTCTATCAAGACTTGGAGGAAAAGCTTCCCACCAAAACCAAACCAGAAACTGGATCTGATACAGGAAGTCCTCAACTTACAACGTTTCGAGTTACAACGTTTCGAGTTACAACGTTTTGCATTTACAACGTTTATAAATTGACACCCTGTTTCAACTTTACAATGCCAGTTTCGACTGGCGGGGAGTGTGCTGCGCTCTGCCAGCGCTGCCTGGCATGGCAGGTGCAGGGGTCCTGGGGAATGGGACCCCACTGCTGCTGCTGCCCTCCCCAGCGCAGGCCGCGCCCCCTTGCTGGGAACAGCCTGGTGCAGCCTCAGCTCCAGCCCGCAATGGCAGCCTGCCCTGCCCCACGCAGATCCAGGGGCACATGCCCCCCATGCCTCCCAGGGTGCACGTAGCAGCAGGAGCCATGCCCCCCAGGACAAGCCACTCATGGCTCAGTCCCGTGCCCCACCCCGAGCACCTGCATCAGCCCCCTAGACCCACTCCCTCTGTCACCGCTGCACGCGCGTCCTTCCCCACCCCTGCTCCAGCCACAGGAAGCCCACAGACAGGCTGCCTTGTGGACCTACCACTGCCCTGTATTTGGGGGGTCTGAGCCTCACTAGCTCCCCCTTCTGCTGCCTATGGGTGATGCGGAGAAGCAGGAGTACCTGGGCATGGGGAGGCGGCACACAGTGGGGCCCTGTCCCCTGTGCTGCCACTTCCCAAGTACTCCCGCTTCTCCGTGCTGCCTCCGCGTACCCCCAGTTGACAACCCCTGGCTTAGTCTAAGACGATTCATGCTTAAAAGCTGTGCTACAGGAGGCACAAAGTATAAATAAATAATAATAAAACTACTGAAAATCAGGGTGAGCAGAAAGGGGAACCTTATTTTCCAAATCTATGCACAGGGGAAGAATTGAGTTGTGATGAATGGGGAGTCTCTGAAATACCAGCAGTATCAGGCACCTGGCATTTGGTTACTATTGCAGGTGGTGGCAGGGACAGCACAGTGCATCAGCCAGCAGAAAATGAGCTTTCAGTGGCTACCAGGGTAGTTTTTGTCTTCACAATCAGTCATGTTTTAAGTGAGTTCATAGTAGCACCTTGAAAACACCCACTCTTTGTACTTCACTCGTCACGTGGGAAGAATGGACTAGACTTACAGAATTAAATATATATGGGCACAATCCCAGTCTGACAAGCAGGGATCCTTAGCTGGCTTCTTGCTTTAAGACAGTTGAATGTGGCAGGATGAAGAATGGGATCAGCCCTCACCTGAGCTCTGGATTACTTTGGAAACCCATTTCTTTTCTGGTTTAATGATATAATTTCCTGCTTTCATGTCTCACCCACAGACTATGACAAGGAAAAGGCTGCTACTAAGATGGCAGCTGGAAGTCCTTTGTCCCCAGGCATGATGGGATTGGAACCAGGGACTGTGAAACAACGTCCAAAGAACTGTGGTTCCATGGAAATGCCTATGGAGGGGTCGGGGATAAAGAAGAGAAGTTTGGGCGTCAGGAGAGGAGTGGTGGCTGTCTGGACCTATTCCAGCTCTCTCGGAAGAGAAGGACTTGGAAGTCCTCATGACCAGAATGGCAGAGAAATTGAGCAACCTCCAGTTGAGACGGGGGTCCACTGCCAGCCCAGCTGCAGACAGAGCAGGAGAAGCAGAGACAGGTGAGGCTCACCCAGGCACACTGAATTCCTCTTCTCAAGAGAAGGAGGCCTTGCTGGGTGAGCCACCTTCATAGAATCAGACAACCATAGAAAATGAGGGACCTCAGGAGGTCACATCTAGCCCAATCCCATACTCAATGCAGGACCAGCCCCAACTAGATCATCCCAGCCAGAGCTTTGTCTAGCTGGGTTTTGAAAACCTCCAAGGATGGAGATGTCACCACCTCTCTGGGTAACCTGTTTCAGTGTTTTACTATCCTCCTAGTGAGAAAATTCCCCCTAATATCTAACCTAAACCTCCCTTGCTGCAACTTGAGCCCATTGCTCCTTGTTCTGTCATCTGCCACCACTGAGAATAGCCTAGCATCATCCTCTTTCAAACCCCTCTTCAGGTAGTTGAAAACTGCTATTCTGTCTTCTCTCAGTCTCCTCTTCTCTAGACTAAATAAGCTCATTTCCCCCAGCCTTTCCTTATAAATTGTGTCCCCCAGTCCCCTAACCATTTTTGTCGCCCTCCACTGGACTCTCCAATTTGTCCACATCCTTTCTGCAGTGGGGGGCCCAAAACCGAACACAGGACTCCAGATGTGGCCTCACCAGTGCAGAATAGAGGGGAATAATTACTTCCCTTGACCTACTGGCAACACACCTACCAATGCAGTCCAGGATGCCATTAGCCTTCTTGGCAACTAGGCCACACTGCTGACTCATATCCAGGTTATTGTCCACTGTGACCCCCAGGGCCTTTTCTTTCTTTCTTGGGAAGAGAGGATCCAGACCTTGGAGAGACCTCCAATATGAGAGAGGAGGGAGGACTTTGAGCAACTGGGAATTGTACCCCGCCTTGAACTAAAGAGAACAAATCGCAAGTTGTACCTGCTCCAGTAACTAGTGTGGGGGACCCTTCCTGTGTGTTAGCCAATGGCTGTCTAATGTAAAATCAATAAGCAGTCCAGGGAGAAGAACCCAGCCTGCCCTCCACCCACCTGAGTGTCCTACCTGTAGGCTGCAGACCGAGGCTTGCTCTCACTGACTATCTTCCTGACCCAGTAGTAATTGCCATCTTGGCTACCAAGTGTTTCAGCTTCAGGAACCTAAGTGGTTGGAAGCGCGTCCTGTGTAGCTCTGACTCAGGTGTGTACGCTCTGGGGAGGGAGTGGGAGATCCCCCATTCTGCATGTCTCCTATTAGCTTGCTCTAGACCGCTGCCTGCTCAGTGCCTGGGCTCTCTAGAGTGCCTCACTGTCCCCCAGGCATCTAACTCTTTGTACCCTCAAGGACAAATTTAGTAATGTCCCCTTAAAGGCAGTGATTATCATAGTATCCTAGTGCTTAGGGTCGGAAGGGACCTAAGCAGATCAGAAACAGA